CCCCCTCTCCGGGAAATGGGATTGGGGGGGCCCTGTCTGTAACACCCCCCCCCCCCCCCCCCCCCCCCCGCTCGTACACGCCAGTACCCTGGTACTGTATATACTGTACCCTTGGTACCGCCGCGCTTCACATACGCCCCCCTCCGCCCTTGACGCACGCCCGCCCGGTCCACCCTCGCCAGTCTCGCGCCCCGCCAGCGCCTTCGCCGCCGCCCCGGTGAACGCCGCCGTCACGGATCTTCGCATTTCCGCCGCTTTGCGGAATGAAACCACGCCGCATCACGCGCCGCATCAGCGTCTGCCGTTCGGTGTGTGTCGCGAAGATGCTGCGCTCCATTTGCTCCACACACCGACCGACACCCGCTTTTTCGACATATCTCGCTCCGAATCTCGCTCCAGACCACCCGCCTTCATGCCGGACGCAGCGAACCCTTTGTCAACTTGTTCTCTACAGTAACCTAACCATCACCGAGTTCCAACCTCCTCACTTCACTGCTCTGTGCTTGGGGGTGTACGACCTTGCGCGCCGCTGCAGTCTAATAGGCCCCACGAATCGCGCTAGCGCCCCATGGGAACAAATATCCCCTTCTCTCATTTCACTGTGTCTGCCCCTGTCTGCTAATCTGTATACACCCATGGCACTGCCCTTTCTGCCCTTTCAGACCAGTGGCTACTCTACTCCCGATCTTTCTTCACTCTTTTGCTCATTGCCATCAAAACAGAAGCTCCCTGTGCGTCGTCATTCCCAGTGTCAATGGCCTTGAGTCATCCGAGTCATCCTAGTCATCCTAGTCATCCTTTTGACAACCCTTGGCAGGAGCGGGTACGCTCTCTTTCACTAGTGTGGGACAGTGTATACGTGACCACCTTCTACGTCATCGCCCCATCTACATTACTGCGCCAACCATAGCACCTCCTCGTATAAAGAATAGAAACTATTCTCAAGTTCCCAGACCATCTCGCAAATGGGCTCTTGCGACTACCCCGCACTTAACCAAGATCAATGTTTGTAACTTCTTCTTCTTCTTCTTCTTCTTCAAGTTGACGTAGACAACAGAGTTGTGTCATGATCCTCTGAAAAACACTGTTTGGCTCTTGCAGAGTACAGCGATTATTTAACAAATAGAACAATAGAGTGGGGCTTGATCTTTTTGAAGCAAAAGTCATCGACTTGCATTCGCTGAACATTGGGGCGCCTATCTCACACCTGACTTTTACAGTATATTTTTTATAGATGCATGTACCCTTCGAAGGGTAGACGTGATCGTCAAAAAAAAGTATGTGGCTGTTCCCTTCATCCTCATTCCAAGTTAAAATGTTAAACACTCTCACACGCCTTGTGCATCCTCGCCCTAGCTTCGTCTATATCACTTGCCTCAACGCCATTCCCGTCCGGGAAGAGGTCCAGCATGGCAGGGACTACTTCAGGAATTTCCTCCAATCTCGTAAAGTCCACACTCATAAGGTCAAATGCAAATGCAGCCCTGTCCTGGTCCAATCGCGCCACTGTTGCATCATCCAGTTTAGGAATTCTTGGATACCTCTGAGAAAAATGCGTCAGGATCGTTCGCCACGCTCCCATATCATTCACACAAACATCTAAAGCCTCGCTCGTTGTACAGTGCAACTTGTCCCTTGCTTCGTCCTGCATATCGTCGCTTAGAGTTGCTTCGTGAATGGCGAGAGTCGCCCCTTTCCCAATTTCCCCCAAGGCTGGACATGGGCGCGTATCACCAGAATAAACAACCTTCCACCCACTCACGCAATCCCTCAACATAATACCATACGACAGTGGGCAATGGATCACACTGACGCAACCTACTTCTAGTCCAAAAGCGTCGGGGAAGAACTTTGCTTCGGGCGCTTGTGGATCCGTCAGCGCCTTGGCGTCGAAAAACTTGAAGCTACGTTTCAAAGGTGCCAGAGTGTCGCGAAGCGGTACTCTCGCTGCCGCCTGGAAGGCCTCCAGCCAGGATGCCAAATAATGCGGTCCAACGACGACAAGCTGAGGCCCCCGCCCGTAAACCGACTGCTCTCGAAGAGCGATTGCTCGTTCATGTAAAAGGGTCAAAAGGCCGAGGTGGTGGTCCGCATGCATGTGTGAGATGAAAACAACTTTTAGACCACACAACACCCGTCTTGCCCTTTCCTGCCCAAACATTCTCACCATTTGACCCCATGTTCCTTCTCCACAGTCCATCATTACGCTCCCTCGCTCGAACATGTCAATCATCAATGAAGAAACGTTCCTGTGCTTCCCAGGGATAGCTGCTCCAGTCCCGAAAAAGCGCACGGCCGCTGTGCCTGGTGATAGCGACGAGATCGACGGCGGCGTTTGCCTTCCTTTCCCCACTGGCTCCTCTGCATGCTTTTTGAGGGCAGCTTCCCGCCAGGGATGTTTCGGCTGCCCCGCTATCCTCTCTATGAATCGCGGTCGCACTGCTCCCATGTCCGGACCTGCATTGGCACTTGGTGACAAAACAAACTTCATCTTACAATCTCCTTCCAGCCAAGTTCCAGTTCGGTTGAGGCAAAACGAAGGGAAGCCCTCATCCGTTCTGAAGCCTTCCGGTTGCGCTGGTTTGCACATAGACAATGGCATGGCAGATTCTGGATTGCTTCGCGAAGAGCGCGCTTCGCTTACCGAGACCAGAGAACTCGCATCGAGCGCATCTGATGGGAGGGGGAACAGATCTTTATCAACGGTGAAATGCAACAATGCCGCATCTGTAGCGTGGGTACTAAAAACCGTCCGTGGCGAGCTGACTGACGGGTGAAGAGGAATGTGGCTGACATCTGCACCGAACGAGTCGCACCATTCTCTATACGCGGTATTTTCTAGCACATGCTTTGGGGCGAGGTGGGCGACCACGCAGCGCCTCATCAGGTTGGACGAGGCATCCGCCGAGAGGATGCCCAGCTCCACCGGGTTGAGAGCCTTTGACTTGGTGATGGCTTGGATGTGATTGACAGTTGGGCAGGGGATGACCAAGAACATGGGACCTGGCGTGCTCTTTGACATCACTTGCTCCGGGGTGACCGTCACACCATTGTCCGTAGTGACCGGCACGCCCCTTTGCAATTGCCCGAATAAGCGTCCTTTCTTCACACCGAGTTCCATCGCGCGGGCAGGATTGAACTTCCCACGAAGGTCGTGCAGGCGGCAAACATATGCCAGGGCATCGAAATGTGCCCCGAAGGCCGTGTCAATTTCGATATCCCTGCGACTGCGCACAGGGATGGCAGTGATATTGACGTTCTCATCCTCCAAGACCAAGACGGGGAGGGGTTCGACTGAAGCTTCCAAGTCGACTTCATGCAAGGTGGATTGCAACGAGGGGCGGTAGTAGAAGGAGCGGGCGGCCTTGAAGATGGAGGCAAGTCCTTTCGGCGCAGTGATGGAAACGGACTCCTTCCCAGCGTCTGCTAGGGTGAGGTTGAGGCCGAGCAGGCCGCCGATGGAGGGGGCGGCAAGGGAGGTGAGGAAAATGCTGCGCAGACGACCGAGCTTGATGCCGTACTCTGTGCAGAGACGCTGAGTGCCGTCGCCGCATTCGAAGAGATAGCGGCCCTCGTCGAAAAAGAGGTGCAGACTAGAGGACGCGTCCGGCGTGCCCGGGCCGATGACCTCGACGTAGGAGTGCATGGTGGACACGAAGCGGCGGGACGGGGTGCGGTGAAAGGGGGCTCGCGGATGAAATTGGCTGGGGAGAGTGCGGGTGAATAGGTATGGGCGAAGGTTGATGAGGGCGGCGGCTATCCGCATCACCGGGTGAGTGGGATACTCGGTGGGTGGTGATGGCGGGTGGCCTGGACGTTGCCAGGCTTTGAATGATCGGGGGCGGGGAGGAGCGTGAGATTCGTAAAAATGAGGTAGGGATCAAAATGTGGTTTGTTGAGGGCGGCGGCGCTGAATTAAACAAAAAACGCAAATCCGTCGAAAACAGCATTTTCTGAGCTGCAGTCATTAGAGGAATCGAGCTAAGCTCCAAAGCGAAGTGGTTGCACAACTTTTAAGGCTTGGAAGGGGCGACATATGTATGTACAATAAGAGCGACGAAAGACATCGCATTCCCGACGGCGTCCCCTTGAAACTAAAACGTCAACTCCCATCTAAGCCTTCCGGGGCTGCGAAGCATGCTGCTTCTTGTACGGAGCAAGCAGCGCGACAATATCACGATGCAGCTCTCTCAGATGATCGATGAGGATCTTGACCTTCTTATTCTTCGCCGCGACCTGTTCCACCAGCTGCGCCCTCTTTTCGACGAGCGCCTGCTTCTCCTCCTCCGACACCTGGCTTTCCATCTGCTTCGCCTCCTCCATCCTCTTCGCGTTGAGCTCGGCGGCCGCGCTGACGGCCTTCCGCAGCCCGTCGAAGCTGGGCATGGCCACGCCCAGCGCCGCCAGCTTGCGCGGCGTCACGCTCTCCGAGCGCTTCAGCAGCGCCTCTGCGCGCTCCTTCTTCTGCGCCTCGGACAGCCCCTGCACTGACGCGAGCCTCTCCAGCGGCGGCCCACCGTTGGCCTACGTTTTGGTTTTGGTCGTCGTTGTTCACGCGCGCGGGAAGAGTCAGTTAGTGCGTTGCGGCGCGCGATATGCGACGGACGGTGGATGGCGCGGACGTGGGACGCACCTCGACGGCGAGGAAGACCCGCATGAGGGCGGTGATGACGGCGCCGAGCTCCTGGCGGGCGAAGTGTACGGCGCGCGCCAGGTCGTCCGGCGCGGTGTCGACCTGCATGGCGGCGGACGGCTGCGGTGGCGGTTGCGGGGTCGGGGCGGCGGGCGGGGCGGCGGGCGGGGCGGGCGGGGCGGGCGGGGCGGGCGGGGCGGAGCTGGCGCTGGGCTCCATTTCCGTTCCCGCAAGGAGAAAATGCGAATGGCGGGTGAAGGAGCAAGGTGCCGTTCCCGCAGTTCCATCTCCCGCAGTTCCATCGCTTACCGCTCGGACGGTTTTGCTTTTCGGAAGCCTTGCTGGTTGTGGAACGAGTGAACATGTGTACAACGGTAAATCTTTCAGTGCTTACAGTACTCGGATTACAGACAGCCTGTCACGATCTAGTTCGAAATCACACGTGCACACGTGCACACGAATACACGTGCACACGAATCTAAATTCAGCTCATGCCCAATGCCACCACGTCATCTGTCCGCTACTCCGCCCTTACCTCGCCCATTTCAAACCGCACATACATGTATGCGCGCCATCCCTGTCAAGCTTCTCCCCTATCCCGCTCTTCCATCCCGCTCCCCCGTCCCGCTCTTCCATCCCGCTCCCCCGTCCCGCTCCCCCATCCCCCGCCACTATGCAAGCGAAGCGCGTCATAGCTAAAGCGCGCCACTCACGCCCGCCCTCCAAGCGCCCGCACGCCCCCCGCCCGGACCTGTTGTCCTCGCTGCCGCCGGACGTGTCCGCGCTGATAATCGACCGTCTCCGCCCGGACGACCTGCGCCACGTGCCTCTGGTGAGCCCGACGTGGGCGTCGTTCTTCTCGCCTTGCTCGCCTCTCGAGCCTTGTCTGCGCGCGCTGGTGGCGCGCCGCTTCGGGCTGCGCGCGCGCCCGGACCGCCGCTCGTGGGGCGAGCTGTATCTGGCGCTGCGCCGCGAGCGCTGTCACCTGTGCCCAGCGCCCGACGTCGCCCCGTTCATGTACGCCGGCTCCTCCAGTCTCGCGCTCCTGCTGCAGCCGCACGTCAAGGCCGCCAGCCTCGCCCTGTTTCCCGTGTGCAAACGCTGCTTCAGGGCCATGCTGTGCAGGCCGGTCGTGGCCTTCGTCCCCGTCGTGGAGGAGGCCGCGCTTCGCTCCCTGTCGCCGGAGGTAAAGGGGGGAGAGTTGGTCCTGGAGACCGGCTTTCTGTACTCGGATATCCCCCCATTTACGGAGAGGGCGGCCACAGACCTGGATAAGAGGGTGCACTACGCCACTGGGCATCACCTGCTCGCCGTCAGCAGGGACTTTCGCCGCAGGTTTTCGCTGGGGCTAGCAGAGGACCCGCACACCATCATGCCGCAATGACTCTCCCTTTTTCGTCTTGTTATGCCCGTGTTCGTGTGTGCCGCCCTTCCACACGCACACTACCCTTGGTACAGTACTATATGTATGTTTATACTTTGCTTGCTACAATATATACTTTTAACTTATCGGTGTACATTCTGCGACGCCGCCTGCGCAGACATCGCCCACTCTCGCAACCGGGCAGACTCCTGGCCTTCCGTTCCCGCTGCGTCGAGGTCAAACTCCTTCTCAAGTTTGCGCCCTACACTTTCTTCGCTCACCTTCGCTTTGCTTGTTGCCACACCCTCACCCTTCGTCGCATCGTGGCTTTCTCGCCCGCGGAATCGCTCCCATTCATCTGGCATTTCTTCCGAAAAATTCTCCGTGTCGCCTGACTCTGTGTGAACAACAATCTCGCCTTCAGCCGCCACAAACCCGCTGTCCTGCGCCGCCGCCATCCCATGGTTGGACAAGAATGGCGGTGTACTGCTTCGCGACTGTGTCGCACTCCCATCCCGCGACCGATGCTCCCCGCTATACCCCGAATCATCTCTGGACAAGTCGAACGGGTTCCCTTCCCCCTCCAGAAGACTTGCCCCAGTATTGAGCAAAGCCTCGTGCTCCTCGTCGCCCTCCTCGGCAATCTTGCTTGGCTTCATCCACGACTCTCCCGAGCCTACGTTACTGATAAACGATTGGTTATTGTAAGGTGCTGGACCTCTGCCGATGAGCGCCCCGCTGGACCGCATCCCCACCTTCTCGGACAAGATGTACTCGTCCACAAAATCTCCGCCTTCAGGAAACGATTTCCGTCTCGTCGTTTTCCGGTCTAGCTTTTCCGCTGAGAAGTGGCCGGTCAACTTCGCATTAACGGCATTCGACACGTCCGGTCTCTCCGCGCTTGCGCGAAATCCTCCTGTCCTTGTATAAACGACCGATACTGTGGAATTCGTAGGGCTATTCGCATTTAGACCTAACAGCTGATCGCTTTTCTGTGAAAGCGGAGAAGTTGTGTTGGAGGGGGCCAAACTAGAGTCTGGAGGCGTCATTGCCATGTTAACAGCCTCTTCGCTGGTCTCATCTTCATTTAAAAGATGAACCCCGACTTCTTCACCTTCTTCGACCTGCACATTGCTTGACGGGGTGAAAGTCTCTGCTAGCGGGTCCTGTGGAATGGCACCCCGTTGTCTATATTTGGCGAGGATACTATCGGCGCGCTCCTCCGTGCCGCAGGTGGGGTTGGCGCCTGCGAGAGGGCTCTCATCGACGGCATCCACCTGGTCCTCGTCTTCCGCAAGTCGACTGTTGCCTTCAGAGGGCTCGTTCGCGTACCTGTCTTCTTCCGCTTGTTCCAGGCCACCAAGCACGTTCTCCACAGCTTGCAACCTAGCATCATCATAGAACGAACCTTCATATTGCTCGTCTAGAGCTTTTGAGATGGCCACGTCAAGACTTCCTTCGCACTCGTTTAGCACAGCAGCAAGATATGCCTCTCCTCGCTCAGGCAAAAACTCTCGTAAACGGCCAATCTCCTCGGAGAACTTATCTATGTCCTGCTCTTCCTCTGCGTCAACAATTGCATTTGCCTCTTCCAGAAGTTCTTCCTTTGTTTTCCTCGGACGCTTTGCAACTGGTGGGGCCTTTTTGGCATTCTCTTCCTTCGCCTGCGCATCCCTCGCCCTTCTCTGGGCCTCCTCCATCTCGCGCCGCCGCCGCGTTGACAAAGGCAGCTCTTTAGGTTTCGCCGGGACCGGCACTGGCAGATCGACGACTGGCGACTTCGCATGGCGCCGCAAGTGAACGACAAGGTGAACATTAACCTCATCCGGGACGGCGATGTACGGAAATTCGCCGCCACTCTTGAGAAACGCACGTCGGGCATCGGGCAGGTAGCCCGTCGTCTGCTGGGTAAGTTCGACGGCCGGGGCGGAGCGATCCAGAGTGTCGATGATGGTGATGGCTGTCTGCGGGATGTGCAGGCGGCTGACTACGGAGGAATGGGCCATGGCGAGGGCGAGGCGGGACGCAAGCTCATCGCGGGATCGCTTCATGGTGTGGCCGATGGCCAGCTCGGCGGCGTTGGCCAATTCGATAGACACGCGGCCCTTGGGCATAATGGTGCGATACGAGGAGCGGACGAGGAAGTCTGGGAGCCAGCGGAGCATGGCTGCCGAGTACGGAAGGCCGAATTTGAGAGCTTCCGTGTCAAGAAATGAGTGGGTGAGCATGAGAGAGGCGACGCGCTCCGGTTTGCGGACGGTGTAGTGCATGGCCAGGAAGCCGCCGAGGCCCGCGCCGTAAAAGTGGAGCCTCCTGTGCGGGATGGTGTCCACAAAGTTGTGGAAGGCGTCGCAAAACTCGGAGACGGTCCAGTAGGCGGGAATCTGTACCGAGATTACGCGGTAGCCGCGCGGGGCGATGGAGATTATCTGCTGAAAGAAGCACTCGGCAGAGCCTAGGACTGAGTGTAGGCACACGATAGGCTCCGGGTAGCTCCGTGGGCCCCAGTCGTAGTAGCTCCAATCGACAGGGTGGTTGACGCCGATGCTCACCTGCTTGCGCGGGCACCAGGCGCGGAAGTTGGCGTACGACTGTGATGACTCCAGCTCCATGGCGGAGCCGGGTGGGGGGCTGGGAGGCGTGAGGAGCGGCGGAGCGGTCACGGCAGGTGAGTGATAGTAAGCGTGCTGCAGATCATGAAGGATACGGGGTGGGTGGGCGGAAGCCGGGAGGAGGAAGGGGAAGCTGAAGGGGAAGCTGAAGGGGAAGCTGAAGGGGAAGCTGAAGGGCAAGCCGAAGGGGAAGCCGAGGGGAAGCTGAAGGGGAAGAAAGAGGGAAGGGCAGGGGGGGGGGGGGGGGGCTGGCGTTAGGACCAATTATCACGTTGACCTTGGTCGGGGTGAGGTTGCTGGCAAGCACCCTCGGCATTGGCGTCAATGACTCGACAGAAGACATCTTCCAATCGCATTCCCTTGAACAGCTCGAGTCCGGCTACTGTAATTATATTGGCCCTTGTAATTACGTTAGTTTCAGCTGAAGCAATTTCAAAGCGCAACAGATTTTATTGTAAAACTTTCGAAAAAACTATTCTGTGCACCAGTCCACCTTTCACCACCACACTTTCCAACTACTTATCGTTCACCTTAATTGCATGCCTCGTATCCTCCCATCGAGTACGACTCAAATTTTCCCTCCAAAAGCAGACCCGATGCATCCAAGGCCGCCCCCTCCCCAAATCCTAATCCCCAAACCACCCGCCATCCCCCGACGATGGTCTTCCTCACGATCAACAAAACCCAAGTCGACTTCCCGTACCCGCCCTACCCCGTCCAGCTGCGCTACATGCACCGCGTAATCGACGCCCTCCGAAACGGCGACAACGCGCTCCTCGAGTCGCCCACGGGCACGGGCAAGACCCTATGTCTGCTGTGCGCGACGCTGGCCTGGCGCCGCACCTACGTCGCGGCGCTGCAAGCCCACGCGCACACGCGCCCCGAGACCCCCGCCCCGGCCCCGCTCCTCCAGAACGCGGGCCTCGCCCCGCCCGCCGGCCCCGCCTCCTCCCTCGCCGCCCTCATCCGCCCCGACCTGGCGCCGCAGCTCTCGACCCCCCGCATCATCTTCTGCTCGCGCACGCACTCGCAGCTTGCGCAGGCTGTCGCGGAGCTCAAGAAGACCGTGTACAAGCCCGGCATGTCCCTGCTCGCGAGCCGCGACCAGCTCTGCGTGCACGACATCGCCTCAACTTTCTCGGGCTCACGTCTCAACGCCAAGTGCCGCCGCATCACCGCCCCGGCGAAACGACAGTGCAGGTTCCACCTCCCTGTCGCTAGTAACCGACCGCATGAGAACCGCGCCCCGGAGCTCATCGACAAGCTGCACAGTCAACCGCCCATGGACATCGAGGACGTCCGCGCGTTTGGCATTTCCGAAGGCGCGTGCCCGTGGTTCTTGTCCCGCGCAGCGGCGAAAACCGACTCGTGCGAGATACTGTTTTTGCCGTACAATTACCTGCTTGACCGTTCCGCCCGTCAGTCGCTCGGCATTGATTGGGTTAATGATATCCTCATCATCGATGAAGCGCACAACCTTGAGGCTGTATGTGCGGATGCTATGAGCTTTGACTTGCCAGAATCGGTGCGTGTGGCATGTCTCAGCGAGCTTTCTCAGCTTATCGAGTACTCGATTCGTCCCGGCGGTATTTCGATCCCGGCACTCGAGGAGATGGCGACCACCGAGAAGGGGCTGGATAAGGTTATAGGCTCGGAGAATTGCGAGTTCCAAGAGATTCGGTTGATGCGCTCGATTTTGAATGATGTCGAGGCCTTTATCAACGGCGTCCAGTTTGATCGGGGGGAAGGGTCCGATATCTCCTTCCGCGTTTTCCCTGCTTCAGAGTTGAGGAAGCAGTTCGAAAGCTCAGGCGCCTTGACCGCGGAAACGTATGAGATGTTTCTCGAATTGCTAGACAGAGCGATGGGCATCCAGGCCGAGGTATCAAAACCCGAATCCAGTTCCGGCCGGGGACTTTTGGCCTCCCAAGCACCTATTCTGTCAGCTGGTAGCAATACCATCAAGATCGTGCAAACCGCAATTCGCGTTTTGTTTGAGAGCGCCGCGTCCGGTTACGAGCGTAGCTGCCGCACTGTAGTACAGCAAAACCGTTCCAAACCTGGCAGAACGGTTTCATATTGGTGTTTTAAACCGGCGGTCACGATGCGAAACCTTCAGAGTTTAAAGATGCGTAGCATGCTGTTGACTAGTGGAACACTGTCGCCAATGGAATCCTTCGCCTCGGAGTTGGGTGTACACTTCCCAATTCGGCTGGAGAATCCCCATGTTGTGACCAAACCACAGATATGGGCGGGGGTGATAAAAACGGGGCCTGATCATGAAGGACAAAAAGGAGGCAGGTTGACTTCTGCGTTTTACGCGCGTGGGGATGCGGCTCATGTTGAGCTGGGTCGCACCATGATAAAAATAGCGTCGCTCGTTCCTGATGGACTACTGGCGTTCTTTCCGTCATACGGCTCTTTGCATTCATGTATTGAAGCTTGGAAGCGTCTCGGCCCTGGCTTGGACGGCGCCAGACCCTCCGTATGGGAGCACCTTCTCCGCCACAAGCAAATTGTTGCAGAGGAACGAGACGCAGCGAAGTGTTCCGCGGCGATTCTCGCGCACAGAACAAATGTTGACGCACGCGTCGGATCCATTCTTCTGGCTGTCTGTCGAGGAAAAGTCTCAGAGGGTATTGATTTCAGTGATGAGTACGGGCGTGCAGTTGTGATTACCGGGCTTCCCTTTCCGGCCGCCATGGATCCCAAAGTTATACTAAAAAGGGAGATATCTGACGAGGAGGCTAAGGCTGTTCGAGAAAAGAATGGAAACCGCAGGTCCAATGAGTCCAAAACCATATTCACAGGGTCAGAGTGGTACACTGGACAAGCTTTGAGGGCTGTCAATCAGGCCGTTGGAAGAGCGATAAGGCACAAATACGACTATGGTGCGATTATTTTGTGCGATGAGCGATACCAGTCAAAGAATGTACAGAAGCAGGTGTCCAAGTGGATTCGTCCGAGCTTAACAATCTGCCCAAGCTTTGGAGACGCAGAGCAGTCGTTGGGGTCTTTTTTTTCGAACGCCGTCAAATCCTCGTTCGCGAAAGATGGGGAGGCAAGAAGACTAGAAGCAAGAAGAAAAAAGAAGGAATCTGGTGCAGACAAGCGACCAGAAGAAAACACAGACGCTGTTGTAGTGGCGCAGGAGGCTATCAGTAGGATTCTGCCACCGCCAAAGTCGGAGGAGCAGTTTCTAAAACAGATTTTTTCGCTGTCAGATGAACTGGCAACACGGAACGGAAAACGGAAGGAGAAGATAGAAGTGCACCCTCGTGCAAAAGATACCCCAAAATTTAGGATCTTAGACTTTAGTGGAGACAGAGCACGTGGGGGCCTGAAGGATAGTGGATTTGGAGGAAATGACAAGAGGCCCAGGCCCAATAAGCGAGCAACGCAAGAATCAAGTAGAAGCTCGGAGTTTCTCGCTGCTCGAGCAAAACGAATTGAAGATGAAGAAGGTCGAGGGAAGCCTTCGCCGCTTATTCGCAGGGAAAAACGGCTTCGAACAGCAGCATCTGGACAAAGCACTGAGGGCATGGGAAGAAGGAAGAGACGGGAAGTTGCTTTCTCGGTACAAATCAAGCAAGTGTTCGAAGGTCAGGAAGGCATTCGCCAGTTTTTGGCTCTCTTCCGCGAAATTTTGAGAATTCAGACAGAAATCAAAGAAGGGACTGGGCCCCTTCAATCCGATGAGCAACTGCAGGCATGCCTCAAAGAAGCGAAGGCGTCTACTGAAAAGATTATTGCGCTAATAAGGGAAAAGGCAAATGGCGAAGATATCGAGACATTTTTGCGAAATCTTAGGGTGAAGTTCCCTGTAGAATTTCGACACTGGTACGATGCTGCTCTGTAGGATGAATCGAAGAGGAAAAGTTCCCGCGTTCCTTTTCTAATGAAAAGGATTGCTAATTTTTATCCAAACGAATTGTTGAGTTGACAGCTTAACTGATAACACAACTTTATTTTATGAAGCAACATGCTTCCGCCTGTTTCAGACGGTTGACGCAACAGCAGGCCGCCAACGTAGAGATGGCTAGCGACAACTACAGTCGGATGTAATATTTATTTACACTTGATACAATACACATAAAGCAGCGCATCCAGCAACCTCAAAAACGATTAAAGCCCCTCGCCAAGGTTAGGAGTGAAAAAACATGGGCAGCTCAACAAAGATCTAGCTTACGGGAGCCGATACCGCCTGGTCCGCGTCTCCGTTCGGCACGGCCTTCTTATCGTCCGCATTTTCGCCATCCTGGGCATCCTGAGGATCTGCCTTCCCGTCTCCCTCCTTCGCTACGGCGACTTCATCCTTCTTCTTGAAGTACTCATCCATCTCCGCATCAAGTTCCTGCGCCTTCTTGGCGTGGAGCTTCGCGCGCTCCTCAACCTTAAACTCCTCCTCGCGGCCCTCGCGCTGCGCCTTGAGCAGCTCCATCTCGTAGTCGAGCTGCTCGACCTCGGTGCGCATGCCGCTGCGACGGCGGCCGCCGCCGGGGCGCCGGCCTCCTCCGCGGCGGTTGCGTCGTGCGGCGCCCGCGCGCTGCTTCGTTATCGCCATTTGGATGGCGGTGAAGTTGGGAAGATGAAGCTCGACTTGTTATTGAGCTAGAGTCGGTCAAGAGGGAGTTGAGTGAGGGGGGGAGGTCGGCACGGCCGGCGTCCACCACAACAGCTAATAACTGTGCCCAAGAGCCGTTCGTTTGCCGAGCTGTTTGAGAGGCCAAAAATACCTCAATTAGCGGGAACGCTTTTCATTGGCTGCCTTTATAACACGTGTATTCAGATCTCGACCCCGCGCCGTGCATCCCGATTGCCGAATCGCATCCTCTTCTTGGACTTTTGGTCTTCCCCTTCGACCGCAACGTCTTACTCCAATTAACGCTTTCGTCGTCTCCCCCCTCCACGCATCCCTCTTCCTCCGTTCACATGAAGATATGAACACACAAAGCACTAACACAAGGCCACGTCGAAAACGTCGTTCTCGCTTTTCGGCCGCCTCCAAACCCGCAACTCATGCATCTCAGCACGCTTCCCCAGACAAGGTCAACGACCCTCCCACTTCGTCACCGTCCATTCCGAATCAAACCCCTCCTCTCTCCTCCCCTCAACCTCCTCCAACACCCGCAGTAGCACTTTCTTCCCCAAAACCCTCCTCTGATCCCCCTTCTCAACCACTTTCCCTCTCCAACCCGGCCAAGCGCCGCCGCACTAAGCCTCGCCTATCGGCCCCCAAGGCCTTCGACACCACCTTTGACAGCGATGCATCCGCTGACTCAGCCTCGGCTTTCGTACCTCTATCTAGCCGTCTGTTCCGCCCTTCCGAAACCCCTGAGGAACATCCTCCTCTCCGCCCAACGACCTCCCTCGCACCTGCTGACAACGGCCCAGACCCACTCGACGATTTCTTCCAGTCCATGGAAACAGCAACCTCTCACCACCCGAAAACATCCAAAACTCACGCCCGAGGTGTAGATTCCGATCACAGCGATTCGGACGCCTACTCCAGCGACGCAGCCGCTGTAACACGAAAGAATGCCCTTTCAGCCTCCCGCCCGCAGAAGCGCGCTGTCTATGAAAAGGTCAACCATGCCAAAATTGACTACCCACCCTTTCAAAAGGACCTCTACATCGAGGTCCCCGAGCTCACAAAGCTTTCCCACGCCGACGTGGCTAAGCTCCGCCGCCAGCTCGGTAACATCCGCATCCGAGGAAAGCGCTGCCCGAAGCCAATCACTGACTTTTCGCAAAGCGGCCTCTCATCCGCCGTGCTCGACGTCTTGCGGCGCGCAGGGTATGAACATCCCACCCCCATTCAAGCCCAGGGTATACCGTGTCTCATGTCCGGCAGGGACGTCATTGGCGTTGCCAGAACTGGTTCGGGCAAGACCCTGGCTTTCCTCTTGCCTGTCCTACGACATATCGCGCTGCAACCGCGCGCGGGCCCGGGCGAAGGGCCCGCTGCCGTTGTTATTGCGCCAACCAGGGAGCTCGCTATCCAGATTTATGGAGAGGCGAAGAAGTTTTCAAAGGCCGTGCAAATGAAGAGTGTTTGCGCGTACGGAGGGAGCGGCGTGAAGGATCAGATTGCGGAGCTAAAGCGTGGCGCAGATATCGTGATATGCACACCAGGGCGAATGATCGACTTGCTGGCCATGAACTCAGGGCGGATATCAAACTTGCGCCGCGTTACTTTCGTTGTCCTGGATGAGGCAGACCGCATGTTCGATATGGGCTTCGAACCGCAGCTTACGCGCATTGTGGAAAACATCCGACCGGACAGACAAACTGTGATGTTTTCAGCCACGTTTCCGGCGCAGGTGGAAAAGCTGGCGCGGAAGATTCTGCAGCAGCCTCTAGAGATTATGGTGGGGGGGAATTCTGTTGCTGCGTCGACGATTGATCAGTATGTAGAAGTTCGAAGTGAAAACTCTAAATTCCTACGCCTGCTTGAACTCTTGGGGAAATGGTACGAGGTCGGCTCCACCCTTATATTTGTCGATCGACAAGACAACGCGGATCGCATTTTTCGAGAACTAGTGAAGGCAAGATATAAATGCCTCTCCCTGCATGGGGGCATGGACCAGGCCGATCGTGATTCTGCAATTGTAGATTTCAAGAACGGCGTAATCAAAGTGCTTGTCGCTACAAGTGTCGCAGCGCGGGGGCTTGATGTCAAGAACTTGACCCTTGTCGTTAACTACGATGTGCCAAGCCATTACGAGGACTACGTACATCGCGTTGGGCGAACAGGTCGTGCTGGGAGATCTGGAACTGCATATACGTTTATTACGCAAGAGCAAGAGTCATTTGCCCCAGACCTTGTGAAAGCACTGGAACTAAGTGCAAGGGCTGTTGCAGAACAGGAAGCTCCTATCGGAGATAAGGAAGCTGCACGAAGTGCATCGGATGAAGCTGCGGCCGCTGCGGTTCCCGAAAAATTGCGAAAGTTAGCGGACGCGTTTGACATAAAGCACAAAGCTGGCATAGTCAGACATAAAGCCAGCTCTGGGTATGGTGGAAAGGGCTTTTCGTTTGACAACAACGAAGAGTATGACGCAGCGAAGACTGCAATCAGAAAGATGCAAGCCAAGCAATATGGAATAGAGGATGAAGTCGCAGACGAGGATGCTGGGGAGGACAACCGGCGCGCAGCAGACGCACCAAGTGAGGAGGATGCGGATGAGAATGACGGAATTATTGAAATTACTGTAGTACCGAAGGCGACCGGTCGGGAGCATGCACTCATGGCAACTGGAGACATAAAACAGAAGTCACTGCAAGTTGCCAGGGAGCTCAGTCCGGCACAGGTTGCGATCATGTTGTCAGAGGCAGTAAAGAGGGCTGAGAAGGAGGCAGTCAGACTGAAACTTGACGAGAAGGCACGATGTGCTCGAGTTGCGACGGCGAAAGCCACGGTGCTATCTATCGCTGCTATGCAGAACAAGAAGGTCAATTCGCTAAGTGGTGCATCCGCTTCTATTCCTGTTGTACCGTCTACTTCCCCGACTCATATGTTGATCGACAAACCTCAGGCTGGAGCAGTATCAGCTGCAGCAGCGGTCGCAGCGGCAATTAGCGCTAAAATTGGAGGAGAAAGTGCTACCAGCCATGGCACTTTGCCTTCCAGTACAGCCGGGGCCGAGCAATCCAACGGAGAAGAGACTGGAACGCGGTTTGCAGGAGAACTAGAGATAAACGACTACCCTCAACATGCGCGATGGGAGGTCACAAGAAAGGGATCCTTGAACGATGTAGAGGAGTTCACGGGGTGCGTCGTGACTACTCGAGGCAACTTTTATGCAGTAGGTCGTAATCCGCCCGCCGGAGAAAGAAAACTGCATTTCCTTATCGAAGGTCCAAGCCGAAGTGCCGTGAGAGTTGCTCGACGGGATATCAAACAGAAACTGGAAGAAGCTGCAGCTATATCAAGACCATCTGAGAACCAGTATTCAAAGTATTCTGTAGTCTAATATTCGCCAGATTCTGGCGTGTAGGCCAGGAAGAAACTTTTTTGAGTCACAAGAGCTTCCGAGTAACAACGCCGAGTAAAAGGAGCCACTATATTATTGTTGGTGCAAAAATGTTTTATAGGAACGCAACATTTGTATCCATCATTGCGTGGGGAGATAGCGAGGCTGTTCCTGAAAGGATGAGCATCCATTCGCAATAACAGAAAGACCCTGTTGATCCCCTCTACCATCGTACGTTTTTCAGCCTAAAGCCGTGCTTTCTATTGTTCACTCATGCACGTGAGAGAGCAGTGCTGTGCCGGCGCTGCACAAGCCAGAACGAATAAAGAGTGACGGTCGAAGGTATGCGCAGGACGTCTGCAGGACATCTGCGCTATCTACTTCGAACAGTTGGTAGTTGGCTACCAGTTGGATAGTTGCAGTTGCAGTTGGATTTGCAACTTTGGACACAAAGTTGGAGTTGGATAGTTGGGAGTTGGATACCCGAGTTGGGAGAGTTGATTTTTTTCGGAATAAAATTAATTTTGATCCCAAGATTTACGTCATCTTTTCAATTAGTTTCATCTGATGCCCTTACAAGAATTACTTGTACTCGCAGTCCACATTCTCTGCTCTGTACAACTTTTGCAGTGCGTCAAACTCCGCGATATCACCAGATCCCATCTTTCCTCTCATCTCGTGACTCAATTATACCCAAGAAGTCCATCTGTTCTGTCTTGGAGAATTTCCAGTACGTTCCCGTGCACCATCATGAGCGACCCTTTGTCGTTGTACAACCAGCACATCGAGTCCGCAATTCGTCGCGAAGATGGTACTCAACTTCGAGAACTTCTAAGGATAAGGTCTCTAGAAGCTGCACATGCTACGGAAATTTACATAGTTGAAGGAGGTTCAGTCCCTTCACCGATGCCAGATGCATGGGAAGTCATTCCAGATATCGTCCAGAAACGCTTTGCAGCAGGCGGTGCTCTCACTGCAAACGACTGGGTTTCTTGCAGTGAGCATCTCTCCGAATGTCTCACTGCTTTCATCAATGTTGTGCAGTCAGAGAGCGCATGGGTGCTTCCTGCTCTACACGCACTGTGCACTGACCTACGAGTCGTTGCCGGAGAGGCGGACAAACAGTTGTTCAAAGAGAGAATGAAAAAGCGCATGCTGGAGAAGTCTGAACGAATCCTGAAGCGAGCGTTTATGACGACCAACAATGACCGACGCACGATGGAAGAAGGATCAAAGCGAGCTGGTACTTTGGCTATCATCAATCAGCTGCTCAAAGTGTATTTCAGCCTAAACAATCTAAGGCTATGCGCTAATCTCACTCGAACAGTCAACGCCCCAAATTTCCCACCATTTGAAAACTACTCAATTTCAGACCGCGTGACGTACAAGTTCTTCTCTGGAAGGCTACACCTTTACGATGATCGAGTGCGCGAGGCGACCGTCGATCTCACGTATGCGTTTTCTCACATGCATCAAGACCAGTTTGAGAACCTGCGGCATGTGCTGTTGTACCTTATACCAGCCCAGATTTTGACAGGACTTCTTCCGTCAGAGAAAATGCTGCGGAAATACAATATGCATTGGTACATGAAGATATCAGAAGCCATAAGAACAGGCAACTTGCGTCTGTTCGATGACGCTGTTGAACAGTATGAAGAATTCTTCATCACAAGAGCTTTGTGGCTTGCTGTGGAAAAAATGCGACCTTTAGTTTACCGTTCGCTTATCCGAAGAGTGGGCAACTCTATATCGGATGCGACCGAAATCCAGAACAAAATACCACTCGACAAGATCCGAATCGCTCTGCTCATGTGTCAGAAGGAAATGGATTTGGACGAAATTGAATGTGTTGTTGCGAATTTGATCTATTGCAACTATATCAAAGGTTACATCTCGCACAAGGTAGGCTACTTGGTCCTGTCGAAAAAAGACCCGTTCCCCCAGCTTCAGGTGTGAGCAGATTCCGGAAATGACGCTCTGCAGCGATAGCCGGCGTCAAGTCCGCTTTACTTGCGTCATACAAGCGGGACAAAAATGCTGAGATGAGTATCTCTGCATTACTGAGCGACCGAGGAGCTCATGAGCTTTTCTTTAAGTGTAACGCTTTGCTCCATGATGAACGATATCATCACTTTTAACAGCGCAGCGAAGAGCCATCGCCGGCAAAATCCGACGCCATACGAAGAAGATGGTTCCACGTTTCCGCTCTGGAGATAGAATCAACCTCCAGACGGGGGGTTTCTTAGATTCATTCATCCTGATAAGCCCAGATGTCACTGATCTGCCATCATGGCGATGGGCATGTACACTGGGAAGACAGACTACACGTGCAGAGGAAGGAGAGTAGCGAAAGGTTTTAATCATGTACAAACGAGCGGACGGAGAATCGTCGCCTCTTCGGTGGTGGCTGGCTGGACTGCTGCGATCAGCTGGAGCGCGCTCTTCTCAGATGGGCTGAAAGAAACCATATCAAAATGGAATTCGAAGTACCCGAAGAGGTCCTAATGTGATTCGTCATTGAAAGAAGCCCCGCTGGTAGGCGTCAGGACGAAAAAAAGGTATGAATCAATGAACGGTGTTGGAGCTGTGAAACAGCCTGTAGGCGCCAACCGGGCCGATCACCGCGGAAGAGGCGACGAAAACGAAGGTTGTCGGAATTCTCGTCTTGTAGATCTCAACAGCTTCTTTCTCATCTTGCTCCGTGGGGTGACGTGCGGACTCATTGGTAAAAACACCTTGGTCCTTCCCCCAGCAATATGCACTGGACTCGCCTCCGGGCGTCCTTCTGATCGTAATGGAGAGTTAGCTGCAGCGAATCTCTTCCGTGGCCTGTTTTTGTCGAGATCCGCGAAAGTGAGGGTCCAATCGTCGGCAATGGTTTGACTGACATCGTCATCAATATCGACGTTGTTCGAAATAATGCGAAGAACTTCCCGTACGGAAGCTGCGCGTTTGCGCGTGCTGTTGGCAGCTTTCTCCAGCTCGTGCACGCGATTCACGACAGCATGATGGCTGCCGGCTGCATCAGCAGCAAGTTTTTGGTGAGGCGGCGTGGCAACAACTACGGGGGTTACGTCGGGTGAAGCGGGAGCACATGTAGCTTTTACCCTGCGGGATACGGATGTTTGAAGAGAGGAGAGACCGTTTTCACGAGCAGCTTGAACGCGAGCAGAGAGGGCGGCGACCTGATTTTCGAGAGCTGAGACGCGAGATGCAAGGGATTCGTCAACGGGGGCAAGAGGGAGATGGTATGGGTGGATGATGCGAACGCGGCGGGAGAGCGTTTGCCGGACAATGAGGGAGACAGACGAGGAGATAGATGGAGTAGCAACAAGACGCAAGAGTTGTTCGAGAGATGTGGTAGACGAGAGCGTGATGTGAGCGGGGGAAGACATGACAGCGATAGGACGAGAAGGTGAACGGGGTCGTGGTTGTGCCGAAGATGACATGGTGATGTGCCGAAAGAAGCGCGACCCCCCCTGCGAGACGAAGAAGGTAAGTAAGAGAGATATGCTCAATAGTTAAAATTCTTACAAGTGTGTGCGTTTCTCAACGGTTCAAAATTTTGAACGACTCATTGCTGGCGGGAAATATATGCGAGATCCCAGATCCAATCTGGACTAACGGATCCATTTTAGTGTAATGACAGAGCTATTGTTGAAGCACATTTGATTGGCTGATGCAAACAATTGCTTACAGTGGTCTACGGAAGGACGAAAGGCATGTCTCACACAACACCCTCTCCATTGTTTCTACTCGAGCAACCTGCGCCGCAAAGATGGCTTGTGCATTGCCTATGCCCTGCCAACGAGATAGCACCTTCAGATACCTCAACATCTCAAACATTCCACTCCTTCCCAGCATGTTCACGTAAACTCACATCCCCCCGTCTGCGCACCTTCTTCCTCGCCATGCAACCCCCCCCATGGTCACCCTGGCCGGGTTCCGTGAAAGCCCCAGATATCCTCAACGACCAAGGGTCAGACTCTGACTCCTCCGACGATTCTCTCTTTGCAGCTGCCTCCAACTCCGCTCAACCGTCCGACCCCATTTTCCCATCTTCGTATCTCCAACCCCAAAACGCTAGAAGTCAATCACTGTCCGTCGGTCCCTCCTCCTCGGGTGCCGTCTCCTCTTTCCATCCAGGCACCTCATCGTTTCTTTCTTCCTCATCCTCTTCGTCCGGCGATGAACTCTTCGGCGTATCCTCTCATACAGTCTCCATCTCCCGTCCTTCCCGTCCGCGCACCATCCAGGGAACCCGCTCCTCCTTCATCCTTGGACATAAACTTGGCGAAGGTGCGTATGCTGTCGTCCGAGAGGGCATCGACGAGCAATCCCTTCGCATAGTCGCAGTCAAGGTCCTCGACTTACGCCGCCTGCGAAAGCTTCGCGGCGGTATCGAGGCTATTGACCGTGAGGTCGCTGTGCAGCAGCGATTGAAAAAACATCCCAATCTCGTAGAGCTTATTGATGTCGTAAGGATGCCGGCCAAGTCCCGCATGTATATTATTCTAGAGATGGCCAACGGTGGCACAGTCCAACAGCTCGCAGATTCTGTACCCGATCATTGCCTTCCAGAGAGCCAGGTAGCTAACTTCACCGCTCAAACCCTTAAGGGCCTTCAGTATATGCATGGAAAGGGTGTCGTGCATAGGGATATAAAGCCTTCGAATTTGATGCTCACTGCGCAAGGAGACCTCATGATATCGGACTTTGGGGTGGCCGAGTTTCTCAACGAGTATAACGACGATGACAACGTTACTCGAACCTCTGGCTCCCCGGCGTTTCAAGCCCCCGAGATTGCCATCGGCGCACCTGGTTATTCAGGTATGAAGGTTGACGTGTGGGCCCTAGGTGTCACCGCCTATTTCCTGCTCACGGGTACCATTCCTTTCGAAGCCGACAACTTGCTGGTTCTATTTGAACTCATCGGCAAAGGCGAATACAAGGAGCCAGAAGGTCTCAGCGAAGCATGCATGGACTGCATCAGCCGCATGATGACAGTCGATTGGGGGAAGCGCGCTTCCGTCGATGAACTGCTCAAGCATCCTTGGATCACCAAAGGAACTGCCGAGCTTTCCTCCCAACAGCGTGAAGAACGCGGTTGGGTGGGCATCTCGAAGAAGGATCTGGGCATTCTTCAAATCGTCACAGATATGTACAAAGAGGACGAAGCGATCCCACTGCCAGATGCCACTTCTCCGGCGTCTAGTGCAGCCCCCGCTACGTCAGCGGCACAGTCGACGTGTACTGTTCAATAGAGCCGTCAACCGCTTATTCTTTTCCAACTTCACACTAGTTTTACCTCTCGTGGACTTCGTTGTTGTATCGGGCAGGACCGAGACGTGCCTTTGTTTGAGATAAGACCGTCTCATAATTTGTCGTGAATGGGACGGGGCGCGTTCTGAACCAAGCTGGCCGCATGATAGGCACGAATGTCCTGGAAACATGGCTGTTCTTACGCCTCTGTCCAGTCTAGTAGTTTACAATGATAGGAAACTTAAATCCAACATTTTTTTACAAGCACTGAGCTGGTAAGCGAACGCGCCCATCACTCAATGATGATCTTCACGACGCGTCTTGCAATGATGGCGACCATGAGAAGTACTATTGCGTAAGCAACATACAGTAGTTCTCTTTCTTGTGTCTCAGGACGCTGTGTGATACCGGGATCCTCAGCAATGTTGGGAACGGTGGCTGGGGGCCCTTTGGATACACGCTGTCGCACTGTGCCGTTCGGCACCGGATTCGACGCGGTGGATTGTGGAGTTATCTCGTCGATTTGGTCGGGCTCTGGTTCGGTTGCAAGTTCGGGGCGATATGTTTCAGTAGCCAGCGTGGGGGATGACCCGACTGCGGACGAGGGCGCAATGGATTGCTGAGCCTCTGCCATAATGCCGTTCGGAATGGACTCGGTGGTGTGATCGATAGAAGCCGAACTCTCTGGTTGTGGCGCCTCTTCTGGTGGCTTCGCCTTTGTCGGTGACTTCGAAGATTCAATGGTTTCGCCCACTGCGCTCGTTATCGCCCCCTGTGACGCATCCTGCACAGTACTGTCGACACTGGGGCGATCGACCCTCGAAGCTAAAGCGTCCGAGGTGGGTGGGCAGGGTTCTCTTGGCGGCAGCTGTTCGACCGGGAGTGCGCCGCATCTCTCACATCTAAAGCCGTGGCTCTTTCGCGCCAGGCCTCGTCTATCCTCATCTGGATAATCCAGTGCGCCCACGCCCTCCGCCTTGCTCGGCATGAAGCCAACGAGGGCGGTAAGAATGGTGCGAATCCCCCACGAAGGCTGCCACGTCTCCTGGTGATGAGCGGTGACGGACAGACAGATTCGCTTACCGACTTCGAAGCGTCCGTTGGGCGTGAGCAAAATAATCTCAGGCGGTTTCAGCGGATACTCCGCCGGGAGAAGAATGCGGCCGTGGTAGACGCCGTGGGCAAAGGCGGTGTCCGGCGGGCCGCGGACGGTGAAATGCCACTCGAAAAGGTCTGATTCAAGCGGTTGGGCGTGGAAAAAGGAGGAGGGGGAATTGTTGAGGGTGGAAAACTCCTTGACTTCTGCCATTATCCGGCGCACGGCATCGTTCGCCATGGCGCAGAGCCGCGGGTGGTGGGGGAGGAGGAAAAAAGGAAATGTGGTAGAGAGTTTGTCGAGGACGTGAATCAGTTGACGGGAAGGTGTGTGACGCAATGTCGAGGCAGAGATTTTGGAATGATTGAGAACTTGAAAATCCTTCAAAGAAACGCGTTCCCGGGAAGGTCCCGAATTATGCATTTGTGTGACAGGTGAGGGAGACGTGTGAGGCAACAATTCCAGCTTGGAACGTAAATTAATTTGTTCTCTTCGATAGTAATTTTGCATTTTCAATTCATCACCACAATTTCCCTCCGCCCATCAGTAGTGGACATGTGTCATCGTATTACGGACGCCATCCATGCTTACAGCCATTCTTTTCTGAGGTGCTCTTGCGTCCTCTTTCATCGACCTCGATTGTGGAAAACGCATAAACTCCTCTACCCTCCTCGTCAGCATTAGCCCTTTTTCCACTCCCTCTCTGCCTCACTTCTCCCTAATCTCTTCTTCTTCCACACTTATCTATTGACAAACGTCTAAATACTGCTTTCTCCACTCACCAGAGACGGCAATCCCCCCGGCTGTGCTCACTTCAAAACTACTATGACTCAAACCTCCATCACTTCAAACGCTTTCATCGCTCCGGTCTTTCCGCGGTTCTCCCCTCTCTCCACCTCAAAGCGCCGCCCCCGCGGACCCTCCCCCTTCCCGACTACCCGTCATACCCTTGTTCCACGCAAACCCTGCCTCTGCCGCATGTGCGACACACAGCTACCCAACCCGCGTCCTGCCCGCCTTCTGTACCAGAAAAGCCTCACCAACCCCGAGTCAATCGTCCTCCGCGACCACCAACACGACCACGATGTCCTCCTCGCCTCCAAGGGCATCCGCACTGTCAAGGAGATGACGGCCGCCATACAGCACCTCCGCCAGCAGCGCCTCTCCTTACTCCTCGCAGACCTTGTCGCCCGCATCAGATGCGAAAAGCCCCTCTCCGTCGGAACCGCCCCGCTCTACGACCTCCTGCGCCACACTGACAACCTTTCCGAAGCCGTGCTCACCGATGACGCCCACGAAAACCATGACCTTCGCGCCGAAATTCGCTCCATGCTCTGGGAACTCCGCACCGTCCTCGACCCACTCAATCCCTCGGAGGCCCTACGCACCAGTCTCGAAGTCGCTCGCTCTAGCTTTCTAGACATCCCTGGTCGTGTCAATGCCAACTCGGAAGGGCCCTCCGCCCCGAGAGATGAGGCTCTCGTTCGCAGCGAGATGTACGCCTTGATGGTGACAAACGTCCTGCTGGAGGAACTCCGTTCCTTACGTGTACTTGAACGCCAGCTCAACGACGTCGTTGTCCGCCTCTACCCGAATCGCGTAGAGCCTCAGCTTTCCGTCGCTTCTGATGCCTCTGCTTTGTTGGGCATAGACGATTATCGAGTTCGCGGGAAGATGAGACTGGCTGATGCTGTTTTAGATCTCCGCAAAGCCTTGCGCCGAGAAGTTGGTCGTCCGCTTCTGCCCGAAATCAACGACGCCATCAACGTTTTGCACAATGCCCTCATCAAGTCTCTCCATACGGATCTGTCAGTGCGACAACCCGCTGGGGAGGCCATGCTTCTACGCCCGAGAATGGATGACATTCCAAATTTTGCTGTCGTAAGCCAGAGCATATTAAGGGGGGGTCAGCCGAGCTCACGTGGGTTAAAATGGCTAGCAAACTACGGTGTGAAGTTGGTTGTCGACCTTCGGGGTTCAGATCGCGAGAATCAGTGGGAAATGCCAAAGTGCCGACTGCTGACCGAGCCAAGTACCAAAAGTAACGGATGCGCCCATCAGAATGTTGATGGCGGCTCAGCGATGCGCTTCTGTAACATTGCAGTCGAGGATTTCAACACCCCAACGATGGAGCAAGTGTACGAGTTTATCGAGCTAACCAAATTTGTCGATAGGCAAAACGGAGTCTTGTTTGTTCATTGCAAAGCGGGCATCGGTCGAACCGGGACTCTCATCGCCTGCTGGCGGATTTTTCAAGGCGAGCCTATCGATATCGCGCTTGCGAAAGAACGTCTCTACTGTGAAGGTGGTGGAGGATTGCGGCAGGAGAATTTCGTCCGTGATTTTGCAGTCCTCCATGCAAGCAGGAATAGTACGCCTTGAGCACTCGGTGAACTCGCAGGTTTTTTGCGACCTACACCTGCTTGTTTTTGGATTGTTTGAGGTTCAGGACCGTCAGAGATTGGGCGCCCTTTTCCTATGAAAATCGCGGCAGCAACACATATTACCTCTGCAATTCTCTTCATTTCAGTTACGTCAAACCCTCGATCCAAGTTGCGGGGAATCATAGAGTTGCACCATAGAGGGTTCCTTTGCCAGATGCACGTTCACACACATGCAAAGAAATAATTTTTGCATTCATGACGAAGTGCAGCCATACTTGCAAAGCGTTCCTGGTATATCTCCGTGGAAGTCTGACAAATCTCCGGGATTAATCGATAGCACTCTACGAAAAAGCGACGCTCGGGACCGCTGGTCACTGAGAGGTGCGTGGTTGTTGTGACCTCTCGATGCATTCCTAACCTTTGAAGTCTGTCGTCCTTTTCACACCAAGTAAATTGGATGGCCATAGGAAATGACATTGTAGTTGTCTCAAAGCCAGGATTGGGTATGTATGCATCATGTGTCACACCCCCTAGTGTTCCCTTTCGATCATGAAGAAGTTATCCGTAGTTGATTCGTCCTCGGTGCTCAACGATCGCACCTAAGATTCTTGCAAAAGTCGAACTTATATGGCGCGGATTTTTCCTAGTTTTTTTTTTCAAATCCCGGCTCCTACCTGCTGTCCACAGTCACGCCATCCGATATAACGTTTGCAAGGTCTCGAACCCCGGTAAATCGCAAATTTAAACGGCAGTCATTGGCATTCCCATACGTTTCAATTGATGTCTGCGCATTACAAACCCAAAGCCACGAACTGCTGCTCCCATAGTGCTAAGGATTTCCGTCTTCACTGATGGGTCTGTTACAAAGTCTAGTGTCTATACGACACGGACCTCATATGAGGCCACTTTTCAACTCATATTTCCTCGACTCGAGCTTGCTCAACCAAGAACGAAAAAGATACTCTCGTCACTGCAGGTAATTTCTGCGCATCGCAAGGGTGGCGTTTGGTCAGATGTGCAAGTATTTTCAAGCCATCTTTAGAATGCCTAAAAAAGAAGCCTTTTTGACCAACCTCAAAACGTTATGTGTTAATATCTTCGAAACCAAATGCCTGTTTAAAATGCCAGCCGAGTATTATGGAGCTTGTCCAAGCTCCAAGGAGCATCTCTACCGGGAGTCTATTACCCCTTTTTAATTAACGAAAAATGATGTCGTTTTTAAGACCCTCAAATTGTACTATTTCTTGCATCAAATTAGTAGTGAAAATAAGCAAGCAGCGTCGTGTAGAGCGTGAAGAGTATTAATTTAGAAGGCCGTGCATCGGTCTCAGAGGTCATAGTTGTCAACAACTCACATCAATCCGAACATGGGTTCGGAAGAGGATGACCTCTCGACGGCTGTTGCTATGGTCGCGCAGTTTGAGGCACAAGTGCAGCATACCTCCCACCTTGCCGCACAGTTCGCTTCCGGTGCTCGAGATTTTTTGCATCACAGTACCTCCTCAAGTGACGACGAGCCTGGGCCTGGGCGGGGCCACAGCGTTGACCGCACAAAAATGCGATATGTGCGAAGAGATCAGTCGCGTTTGAACAACTTCGTTCGCGAGGAAGACGCCAATTTCTCTCTTTTTACAAAATTGGCCCATTTGTCTCGCAAAGAGATTGACGGTTTACACGCCCTTGTTCATGCAGAGTTACAAAAGCCGTTTAACGTTCGTGGACATCATGACCACAGGGTCCGTGCACTGGTCGGCCGGGTCCCGGTACGCCGACATGAGAGCCGCCAGATGGTGCGCGGCGTCCAGCAGCAATTTGGAGCGCCACTAACGCGGTCCTCCTTCAGGGGCGCCGTGGCAAGAGCCGCGGCGTCAGACACGGCCTCCCATTCAGGCCGTAGCTACGATGCCTGCTTGATGGTCGCTGGCGAAATGTTGGCGGCGGACGACAGGTGGGCGGACTAGCGGTGCTTGGACAGGTTCAGTTTGCACTCGAGAAACTCGGAGGTGCGGCGTAGGCGGGCGCTGTGATGTAGCAGAGGAGGCAAACATAGGGTTTGCGTCAGGTGGGCGGCGTAAGTGAGCGACTTTTCGCGCCTAAACGGGATCGGAGCTGTTGGGAAGGACGGCGTGGCATCGTTGAGAGGCCATAATAGGCTGTGAGTTGCGTGTTTGGGGAGTTGCGCGGGATAGCGTCCGTCATGGCGGGGGTATTTGAAGGCGCAGACGGAAGGAGACAAGAGGGAGGAGTGTAGGGAGGAAGCGGAGAAAGAGGTAGGAGACGAAGAGGAAGGAGGCTAAGGGGAAGGAGGCGAAGAGGAAGGAGGTTAAGAGAAACAGTCTTCAACTTTAGTGGGCGCCTTCCCGCCCTGACTTGCTAAAATAGTCATTTGCCGTACAGTTGGAAAATAGCATATATTTTAGTCGGAACTGGTCTTTCTAATTGAAACAGGATTTCGCGCACTTTCGTAAATATTCGCATATTTAGTTGCGATTTTCGTAAATTAAAAAAGGGCTATTCTCTAATCCATGTCTAGATACTGAAAGCATACTGTAATTCAAGGCACTTCGGGATCGTTCTTTATTTGTGGTACCCTCTGAACATGCGACGACGAATAAACGGGTGACCGAAAACTATACATGAGCTAAGTCGGCTGGTGGAACCGAACCCTCACCTCTCCCAATATGCTTTCGATCCCAAGCGGTCATCCATCACAAAGCCAACCCCAGCATGTTTGAGACTGTGCCATCGGAAGGACCGGAGCCAGCAATGTCAAACCATGACGTACTGCAGGCTCTCCTGCAAACTGCAGAGGATGCAAATGCGGCAGCTGTGTCTCGACTCATGTTAGCTCAAAGTACCGCTAACCGCATCAACAGCCAGTTTCTATCGGCTATGGAGGCACTCACCACCGCTACAGCCGACTACCAAAACGCCTTCGAAGCTGAGGGTGAAGCTAACGCTGCCCAATTAGCGGCCCTCAGCACCCTGAAGGCAGCACTGACGGTGCAAGAAAGTTCCCAGAGAAAGGCCACAGAGGACACCTCTCGATGCTTCGCAGCGTACACTGCTGCACAAGCAGCACTTAGATCAGCCAAACAAGCTGTGAACGCCTCTGAATCACGTGCGTTCTGTAGTGCAATGCGCCTGTCAGGCAGAGACCAAGGTCTGACGGTCCAACACAAATAGCAACAACAAAAACGACAACTGCCAACGGCACAGCGCTACGGAGTGTTCGAAGCTCCCTGTCCTCTTTAAGCGGGTTTGCGGCCCGCAGTAGCTCGGATCCCTGATAGGGGGGTGTAGCATAAACACCCCCAGCGGCGGAGGGGTGTTGCTAACAGTCCGACGGTGACCCTTGATCGGCGGAAGACGGGGGACTCCTCCTGCTCACGGAACCGGGCACGGGCCCGGTAGCAGTGTGGTAGAGCGGGTCGGGGTAGGTCGCGCGCACGCACGAGCGGATCGACGCCTCGACGCCCCGGAGCAGCGCTGGGTGACGTATCAGCGCTGACGGGCGGAGGCGGATCCCGGCTCGCTCGCGCGTCGTGCAACCCGACTCGTGCCGGTCCCTAACTAAAAAGGCGTGCGAAGGTGTCGCCTAATTAGAGTAAGCTGGAGGGTTTTGCCGCCGTCGCGGATCGTGACCAAGCTACCTTGGTCCTCCCCCCGCCGGTGCCCTTCCTCCTATTTAATATACAAGTCGACGTTATCATACTATAGTACAGTACCGTGCTACTGTACCAGTGCGGGTCGTCCCGCACTGGAATACTGTCAGCCATCGGGCGGACAGCACACGTTTCGTACACGTGTGTCGGGGCGCGCGCTGTAAGATATGTGCGCGCGCACGCTGTAAGGTCCGTACCTTACAGCGAGATCTAGATCTAATTGCAAATCTAATGTATACAGTAGTCGTCGGCAATTATGCCACACCGCCCCCCACTTAACGGTGAACGTCTGCGTTCACCCCGGCTTATAGAAGTGGCCATGTCGATTCCCGTAGCTGTCCGGATCATACCCGAGGTCGCCAGTACGCCACCCCTTCCATTGGGTTCGAGCCCGGTCCGTCGTCTGCCCATCGCTCCTTTTCCCCTTCGTCGCCTCTTTGTCCCCAGCGACTTCCCGTGTCGCGCCGTTTTCCTGTTTTTCTCCCCCACCCTTCCATCTCCTTGCGTCTTGGTCGGCGCCTCACCTGACGTCGCCCGCCCCTTGTTCTCCGTCCGAATCTCGTCTGGACCGTCGGATTCCTTCCTCTCGCTGGGCGACTCCGATTCCTACTCGTCGATGTCGGCGCCTCTCCCGAGCCCTTCCGTATCCCCGGGAACGATCCCCCCCTCGAGTGTACACGCCGTTCCCCGTGGGGAAGTTACTCCCCGTCAACTATAGCCGCCGTCGCTCCTGCGAGCCACCTTACCGCCGTTCCAGAAGTCCCGGAGCGCGGGGGACTCGCCACTGTCGATCGAGTTCGTCCCCGCGTCCGCGCCCCCGGCTTCACATGTCGTCGATTCCGCCGTCGCCCGAGGCCTGTCCTCGGCTGGAGAGGAGGACAATGCTGGCGGAAGGTGGTTTGGTTCGCCGTTAGAGCGGTCTGCCCCGCTGCCCGTCGAGCGTCTTCTCTTTCCGTGCCGCCGGTTGGCCTGTTCGGGCGTGACCATGAGTGAACTACTGTCCCATGATCGCCTCCGCCCCGACCTACTGCGTGTTCGCCGAGTATACGAAGCAGGCGGTGCGGAGGAGGCTTCGCTGATGCTGGGGAGGCTCACCGCGGACGGCGTCGGTGCGGCGTACCAAATCCCCGACGCCATCCACAGCGAGCGGACCTTCGTGTACAGTGCGAGCGAGGCCGACTACGTGGATCAGATGGCGTCTTATCTGTCGGGACCCGGTCGTGGTGAGCCTCGTCGGTTCGTCCTGGCCGCCGTGCCGGGGCTGTACGTCAGCCCCAGACCCTACGCCTATTCGAAGGCGAGGGCTGCCTTACAAAAATCTGCCTGCTCCCTAATTCGTCTGCACGGGGTCGCCATCTCTCCTCACGATTGGGCGGTGTATCGACGTTCCGACGAGGAAGACGGGCGAGTCTTCCGTGCATCCGCGTTCGAGCGGGGGTGTCGCCGGGGGATTTTCCGCCACTCCCCGTTGTCGTAAGGGAGGCACTCCCTTCGTTGGGAGTGCATCCTCTTCTCCCTTACCTTCTAAAGCATTTCGGCTTCATTTGCGCCGATCCGCGTCATCCCGCCTATTCAGCCGTCATGTTCAATCTAGAAAGGGAGTGGGCCTGGTTTCTGGGTAATGCCTTCATGACCGAGGTGTCCGTACAAAGCCGTGTCTTCCTGCAACCGCCCGAGGTGTTGGGATTCTTCGGAAGGGTAGCGGCAGACCTTCCCCTGGTGCCCCTACACCCGCTCGACCGCAGCACATCGCACGTGTCTTGGGCATGTACGGCGGTGCTGGAGTTGATGCAGCCCGCCGACGAG